AGGGGAGAGGCTCTTCTCTCTATCTGTCTGTCTGTCTGTCTGTCTGTCTGTCTGTCTGTCTGTCTGTCTGTGTCTGTCATGTCTGTCTCTCTGTCTCTCTTTCTCTCTCTCTGTCTCTCTCTCTCTCTCTCTCTCTCTCTCTCTCACACACACACACACACACACACACACTACCACACGCACACTCCCACACTCACATAACACACACACACACCCACACACACTAACGGACACCGGCAGTATGAAACCTGAAGTCAGCAGCTGTGTTGGAATCATCAGAAAATCCCCAGCCCTCACTGCAGTTATAACTGCTACCTCTGTCACTAACACCTTCTCCAATTTTTTTTTTTTCGACCTTCTTCACTTCTTCGACATTTACTTCCTGCTGTTCCTTACTATTGTCATTATGATTATAATGAATCATCATCATCATCATCATCATAAGGAAGACTGAGAAGGAGGTAAAAATATGGGAAAGAGTCCTCTTGAGTAGCCTTGAAATATTTCTTTTAAGATCTGAACCTGTACCCCTGCCGCTTCCCCCATCTACTATAAAAAAAACTCTTCCTTTTCCTAAACCTCTTTTTCACGTATATGTATCATGCAGTTCTACCATCTTTTAAAAGTATTTGTACCTCTTATTTTCTCAATGAACAGGAATCGTAGACGACCTCATTGGTAAACGAGCAGATACTGAACTGGCCGACTCGTATGGCGACACCCCCCTTTTGTCGGCTGCCCCCAATAATGATCATCTGGTGCTGACCTCACTCTTGAATGCTGGTGCAGATATCAGCAAGCGAAATGACAGGTTCCACATAATTTTTCATATATGGTTTATTAATACAACAAAAATGTATTATATTATTCAACGTTTCCACTTGCCAGAGGTAGAGCTAGAAGAATATATAGAAATATTTGCTGTCCAATTTTAGGCAGCCGAGACTGGGTGGAGGTTTTAGAAAAATACATAGAGCTAGAGTTGTTGAAAATGACGAGAAACTTAGTTCAAGAATGGATAGCCCGTCACCTCTTGGTTTGAGGGAGCGCCGGATGTGAAACTAAAAATGTTTTACATCAAATTTCTCAAAACTAAGCTTTGAGCAGATAGAACTTAGAATTAGTAATTTTGAGGTAGCAATGTGATACCATTAATACTATTATGGATATCGGGTGTTAAAAGCAATTTGCTAACCTAGAATTACAAAGTTTTATTGTTCAGTACCTAGTTTCTAGAATATATTGATAACGACTCCGAATAATCTCATGATTTTCATAGAGCACATAGAATGTTTGTGTCCCGACGTTGTGGAATCAGTCGCTCATCAAGTTTTGGACATTTGGGATTATTGGTTTCATCTTTAAAGCCTGTTCATTTGCCTTCTTTTGGGTGAAAAAAATATCCATTTATGATGAATAGAAGTCGAAATACATGTATTTGTGATTGAAGGTCAGGGTCGCCTGGTTTCAGAGGTAAAATTTGCGAGAAAATGGCTGCCAAAGATTGGTAACTTCCATAGCCTGAGAGTCCTTGGGAACCGGAAATTTACATTTCTTGTGATTTTAATCAATGTTTTTTTAGTAAAATCCACACAGATATGTGTTTTTTAATGAGCATGAAAGGTTTTGAGCAAAAAAAAGAAAATTAGAAAAAAATTGTCAAGCGGCCTCAAAAATGCCAATTTCTTTCATTTAAATATTTTGACGAGCACCTGATTTCACCCAATGCCTCACATTTGGTTTCTGACGTTATGGTCTTAGCAACTCAAAACGGCAAAAATGACAGATAAAACTTTGTAATTCTAAGGTAGCGGTATTTGAACAGGGCATAATGTGATATGGTGCTGTGTGACACCATGGATGTCAGGTGCTAAAAGCAATTAACAAGTCTTGTTCACAACCCTCAGTGGCCAGACTGCTTTGTTGTTGAGTGCCAAGAATGGATGTCGACAGAATGTGAAGCTTCTGCTAGAGAGGGGCAGCCACTCTGACAAAGATATCCAGGAAGCCCTGAAGGCCTCACAGTTGAACCCAAACCCAGAGATTCTGGAAATGCTCAACAAAGCTCTTGGAAAGGAAGGAGAAGTTCATGGTAAGTGGAAATTTTTGTCTCGGATTGTATGAAAGTGAGTGACTTTTGCAAATTGAGTCTTCAGTTTGTAGGTTTTTTTGGGGGGTTTTTTGGTAAGTGTTTTACGGCATTCGCAACTACATAAGTTCTGCATAAGGTCTTTTGAGTGCGTGGAACACATTAAACATTTTCAGTTGGTAGGAACTTTTGAATATTGCCCGGGTGGCGGGTGAAGCTTACTCTTATCGATTTTGAACCACCAAGGGATCTTTAATGTGCGCAACTTGCACACAGGACCTCCGAGATTTTTCGCCCTTGTTCGAGAAGGCAAGGTGTAGATCTTTCTTACCAGAAGATCAGGGGTGTGGCTGAAAGACAGCAATAAGAAGGAGCCAAGGAGAATCAGTAGAAAGGCTGCAGAAAGAGTCAGGGGCCCAGAGGAGGGGGAAAAGGAGATGAGGAATATCCCGTCCAAACCAAACGGGAAAGATGTACTTAAAATTCCTGAAGCGACACACAAGGTACAAGTGGGTACAATGGGCTTAAGAGGGTGCTCACACATTACCTTTGCTCTCAGACTGCTGAGAAAAAAGAAAATCAATCACAATTTAAAAAAAGAAATCTTTCCTTTGTAGATCAAGACAAAGCTTTGATGTAAACTACCTGGGGAAAAAACTAAAACCCCTAATATGAATGACAGCTTGATTTGAATTTATTTCAAGAACAAGAGAAGGATTCTCGTGTTCATGGTCAACATGGAAAAGATCCCAAAGAAAGCAAATACCGAACTAGAGGACTTAAGAAAGATAGATTTTGTTGATGACTGGCACATGTAAGACAAGACAAACTTCAAGAACAGTCTGAACTTACTCTATGAGCAGTGAAATATGAAGATAAGCATCAGTAAGAGAATAAAAATTAACAGACCTCATGGCATCTACAGTTTCAACTTTGTTGAACTTGGTTGAGACAAGTCCACAAAGAAAGCAAGTACCAAACTAGAGGTCCTAAAAATTTTTAAAGATGCGTTTGTTGATGACTGGCATAAGAGAGCAGCATCTATCTCCGAGGATGGACACGAGAGGTTGACAGGAGAATCTAGAAAGTCAACAATGTCAGCAAGTGTCGCCGAGGGTCTTTCCACTGATTGTGCCAGTGCATATCTGGTTGAACGTTCTTCTGTTCTTTCCTGCAAGGATGCCAGATTTTCCGCTTCCTTTTTGTATTCCCAAAAGCATCATCCTCTCCCCGGCAGTACTGGCCTCTGCTTCCCTATGTTCCTCCTCAATCAGCTGGTGAGAGAGACATTTCAGGATCTCGACCCTATCTGGTCGAACTGTGCTGTCAACTGACCTCACCAGCCGACCTGTCGGCTTTTTCATTTCCCCTAACACCTGCATGGCCAGGGCAGAAAATCCATATGATAGATCGTATAGACGTTCGATAACTTGAATCCATTATGTTCTCGGGAAACCTTTTTTGATCCTTCTGAGGGTACATATGGAATCAGTGATAAGAACAGCATGGGTTGTGTGGGGGCGATCTTGGGTCATCCTATCAAGTACTTTCGTGATGGCTTCAATTTCCATTCGCATACTTGATGTAGCCCTGCTGCAGGCTCCAGATGCACTGTGTATGATTTTATTGTTGGCGAATGCAACAAATCCCCATCCACTTCGCTGGCTATCTCTTTTCACTAAACCATCTGTATAAATTATGGGAACCACTGCTTTTAAACATCCCCATGGAACCCAAAGCCAAACTTATTGTCTCCAACTTCATCTCTATCTTGACGTATAAGAGTCAGACATGGGCCTTTACAAAAAAAACCAGAAGATGAGATTGCTTGCTTGCGAGATGCGCCGTCTGAGGTGAGCTGTCAACAAAACCACATGTGACAGGATCGGAAACAGGCTGAAAAATATTGGAACAATGCCAGTCCACCACTACTACATCTTAGAGCAGAGAATCAAATGATTAGGACTTCTGAATAAGATCCAGTCCACCCCCTAGATTGCCAGTAAGGTTGATACCACAGAGATTGAAAACAAAAAGAATACCTTCAACATTTGAACCCTCCGGGCTTTCCAACTTGCCACTGCCCACCTGCTCTTTCTCACCTGGATGACCCTGACGGGCAGGCAATACAGTAGTTAAAAAGTCATGACATGCCATTATTTGATATTTAAAAAAACACACAATAAGACAGAGTATTGGGTCTAACTACAGACAAGAATTCATGAGTGGTTGGTGGTTTAGTGAATAGGCTGTTGGGTTTGCAACCGAAAGGTCATGAGTTTGAACCCTATCAGGGACCTGATGTTGTGTCCTTGCTAATGGCACTTTACATGAATTTTCCTCATTTCACCCAGGAGAAATGAGTACCAGCTCTTGATGGCAAAAGATGATATCTGTTTGTTAGTTTTTGAGCTTTTAATTGGCTGCTTGCACTGTATGTTTCCTGGGAAGCCAAGAATGTCTCTGACTGTTCTAGGGTCTACTGGGGTTATAGTATAGATTGTTTAGCACATAGGACTTGCTGTTGCAAATGCTATTAGTTGTCATTTCAATGGTTCAGTTCATGAAACCTTAATAACAGTATGATCCTCACATTGAAAAGATATTTGACGGAGAAAGATCTGCGGCCTCGGAAAAGCAAAAAAAAATGATGATTTGATAAATTTCAAGATGAAATATTGGAGCTTGATGTATGATGTAAAGGTAGAAGATATCTATGCTATGGGTGTAGTTTGTTTTTATGTCTGGTGAAAAACTAAATCTATGTAAAAATTGTTCCAGATATGCTGCCATCAGTTGCCACCCCACAACAACCGGTGTTTGCAACGTCAGTTCTTTATTGGGCAAGGCCTTGGCCTTGTCCTCGTAAAAGCATTTATGATAGAATATCCAGGTCAGTGTTGTATGGGCTGTTATTTCTGTTTGTTGTCTCCTTTTTCATGAATCCATTATTCGCACAATGGAGTCTTTTTATTGGTTTTAAAAATGTGTACCCAAATAAAACTTTATGCTATTTAGATTTGATTTTATATTTTTCTCTTTACTTGATTTGATTTGAGAAAAAAATGCACTTTGTATGGACATAGATCTACTGTTCAGTGAACACTTTTGGTCATGTTTCTACTTTTTTCTTCTTCTTTACCTCTTTATGTCTGTCCATGAGTTTATATTTCACAATGAACTTTAAATAATTCCTTGGGTAGTTTTAAACCGAGGACCTTAAAATTTAATGGATTTCCTTCTCCTTCTTCCTGATGCCACATGTGACATGCTGAGCAGAGTGGGGGCAAACCTGCATGAACTGCAGTCTTTTCTGTATGGGATCATAGAGGGCTGAGGTATAGTGTGAGTCGTGAGAGATAATGTGCCAGGAGAATGGGGGGGGGGGGGGTTGAAGGCAGTGTGATGGGCCGAGGAAGGGAAGAAGGAATGTGGGAAATTGAAAGAGACTAGTGATCAACTGACTGATTGACAGAGAGGTAAAGAGAAATAAAAAGACAATCTGAAAAGAAGTGTCTATTTATTTAAGAACTTAATGTATTTTATCCCCATTTTTACTAGTCATTCAACACAGTGTACTACAGTTTACAAATTAAAAAGGAGGGGGAAAATAAGAAGAAAACAGTTGTCCAGATAACAGAAAATTATTAAACAGACATGAGAGCAAATCTTGCAAGTCACTGAGAGAATTTGTTGTTATTAGAAATGATAAGAAACAAAATATTAAATTTGAGACAACAATTGCATGATAATAATAATGATAATAATAATAATAATAATAATAATAATAATAATAATAAATGACATTTATATAGCGCTCAACCCCTATTAAAGTGCACAGGCTCTGAGCTCTTTACAATACAACACAATGCACAACAGTAACATAAAACGTTGTGTTCTGACTAAAAGAAAATCTATCCAAATGTTCATCTTATTAATTTAAAAACAGAAATGACTTCAGCTGACATTTGAATGAATCAAAAGATTTGATCTCTCTTAAAGTACTTGGGAAAGTGTTCCAGATCTTGGGGCCTTGATATTCAAATGCCCTTTCACCCACTGTTATAAGTTTCGTAGATGGTAAAAGAAATATTTTTTTTCAGCTAATGACCTTAAACTGCGAGTTGGAACTTTACCCCATTTGTTATGAGAGCATTCTGACTTATGATCAGCGGACAAGGCATCTCTATATACAGTAGTCTCCACCTAAGATCCCACCGCTTACGATCCCGGTTCGCTTAAGATCCCGCTTTTACTATGCAAAAGTCACCCCTAAGATCCCGCTCTGATTCACTTTGAAGGTCTACATTCGGCTAAGATCCCGCTTTTCAGATCACAATTTGCAGAAAAAAATCCGGGCGGGACAGCTGATCAATCAAGAGTGAAAAGTTGAGATAAATAATAAACTGTCCATCGCATCAAAGATCAGCCACTATCGTGAATGTGATTACATACACGTTGTAAAACTCGATGAAGCGATACAATGTTTGCCCCAGACAGGATCACACCGGGGTGTGAACTGACCGACACGTTTGTTTTCCCCGAACATCGCATCACACCTGAGCTCTCCCCCTAAACTTATATCACTCGCTAGGTGGGTAGGGCCTACACGTTCGCTCCATTGAACTGCGAACTCTTCCCTGACCATTTCAAAAGTTGTCTTTACTCCCGAATTTGCGAGACAGACTGAATTTTAATTGGTGTGTTCACAACTCAATGGTGTGTAACGACAAAGGCGGTTGGAGGGGGGGGGGGACTCGGTCAGAGATGGAAATCTATAAATTTTCGACAGGTAAGGGGGAGGGGCAACTGGATATGCGTAGATCTTGAGACTCATGATAGGATAGTAAGTGAAAATGGCACGCCTCATCCCACTATGCACTGTGATAGGTCATCAAGGTTAACCACTCTTTGCTCGCCATACGTCATAAACCCACCAAGTGGTCACGTCTGTTCATTTTAGAGTGGAGGGAGACCATTTTACCTATTGTGAGCCTTAGCATGGGTCACCATAGATTTTTCCCTGGGTTCGTCGCTTAAGATCCCGGTTCGCCTAAGATCCCGCATTTCCTTGCTCCCGAGCACCGGGATCTTAGGCGGAGACTACTGTATTATATTTGTGAAAGTTCATCCCTTTGTCCGCCTAAAACTTCTGCCCTACTTAACTTTCAAATTTGAAAAAAATAACGCTAGTTCAGAATCTTTTAAAGGGTGCACAGTTTTATTGAGGGGTCTGAAGTCACTGTAGTTTAATTTTCAGTTTTTCATTAATTAGTTTCGTTTAGATCTAATCTTGGGAAAGTCCGTCTTCTAAGACACCATTGTGAACAAGTGAGACTTCTGTTCACATGCTGTGCGCACTGAACCCACAATGACTTGACGATCAAGTCCGTTCATCGAACAGGAAGCCCAGCTAGTTTTCCATAATTGGCTTGAGCTAATACATTTTTGTATAGATCTAGCTTTCGGTGCGAGAGTCTATCAGCTTACGCCATTGTTTGGCCATAATTCCTCCACTAGGCGCTGTGCTTCTGTCTATCATGAGTTGCTGCCCACAGTGCAGCAGCCTCCATTCTATTTATAACCTCTTTGTTTAAAGAAATTGTAGGTTCAAAGTGAAATACTACTCTGTGTATTAGAAAATTATTCATTGCTCGAAAGGAGTCCCATTTTTTTCCCAGAACCGGTGATTTCCTATTTTTCAGCTCCCTGCAGTCAGTAGAATTGTGAGTCTGTTAAAGATCAGGGTGGAGGAATGTTTATTTCTAGTAGCTTATGTAAAGCAATTTGAAAATAAAATTGGCCGTACAGTTGTTAATTTATATATAAATAATTTGATATATATATATATATATATATATATATATATATATATATATATATATATATATATATATATATATAATGTGTCTTTTTGTCTTACCTAAATCTGACTAGTGATGACATTAAAAGGATATCTTATGAGTACTTTCCATCAGTAGAAAGAACTGAAAATTTTTTTTTTTTAGAATGACTGTAAAAACACGTTTGTGGCTTATAGTTTTTTACTTTTAATCTTAATGTGTCATATTTTGTTTTCTTCACAAGATCAGAGAAATACAATAATTTCCTTTTAAATAAGAGGAAAAAGAAAGATATTTGGAAGAAATAGATAACAATTATTAGGCTGGGAAAACTAAGGTTTACAGAATTAGGGTGGAGGTCTTTTTGCATGGCCCTGGGATCTTCCAAGTTTTAGACCTATATGAATATAATATATGAAATGTGTTGTGATGTGGTGGAATCAGGCACTCGTCAATTTTTGGGCATATTGAGTATTTGGTATCATCTTAAAGCTCGTTTATTTGTCTTGCTAGTGATGAAAAAAATACCCGTCTATCTTGAATAGATTAGAGATACATGTCATTGTATTTGCCATGGAAAAAGATGGGGGTTGCCTGGTGTCAGAGGTAAAGCTAGCAAGAAAATGGCCACCAAAGTTTTGTGATTTTCGAAGCCGTGGTGTCCTTTGAGACCAAATAAAAATTGTTTGTGCTTTTGGTCTAGGTTTTTCAGTAAAATCCACACAAAAGTGTGTTTTCAAATTGATGTAACAACCAAGCAAAAAAAAAAAGAGATAAATATGCCCAACGTGAGGAAAATGCAGATTTCTTCTATTTCATTATTTTAATGAGCACATGAAACCTCACAAACGGTAAAAGTCAAAGCGCCGTTTACTTTACATTTTTAGATTGAGTTTGTGTGCCTTTCGGTGCCTGATTTATGTGCGGTTGTCCTTTTTATTTGGTTGATTACCTGCTATGGTGCTGCTGAGTGGTTGATTTGTCTTTGAGGGTGCTTTTAATTTGCTGATTTTTAAACCACCGTGCTTTTCAATTTGCTTGTAAGTTGTGGTGGTGCTTTTGAATGGCTTATTGTTTATGCTATGGTGTGGAAGTGCTGACTGATCTGCTTATTTATCAGTTCGGTGCTTATTGGTTAGCTGATTTTTATGTGAAGAGGCTGATTGTTTGACCAGTTTGTATTGTATGTTTCGAGACTGTTTGCTTGACTGTCATGGGTTGTATGAGACTGTGTGATTGGTTGACTAACTTGTGTTGTTTGAGTCTGTGTGATTTGCTGATATATGTGTGTATGATGAGGCTATGTGTGATTGGCTGATATATGTGTGTATGATGAGACTATGTGTGATTGGCTGATATATGTGTGTATGATGAGGCTATGTGTGATTGGCTGATATATGTGTGTGTGTGTATGATGAGGCTATGTTCGGTTGGCTGATATATGTGTGTATGATGAGGCTATGTTCGTTTGGCTGATATATGTTTGTGTGTGATGAGACTGAGTGGTTGACTAACATGTGTTATATGAGACTGTGTGATTGGCTGATAAATGTGTGTGATGAGGCTATGTGTGGTTGGCTGATATGTGTGTGTGTGTGTGTGTGTGTGTGTGTGTGTGTGTGTGTGTGTGTTTGTGTGTGTGTGTGATGAGTCCATGTGTGATTGGCTGATATATGTGTGTGGTTGGCTGATATGTATATGTATGATGATATAAGTGTGTGTGATGAGGATATGTGTGCTTGACTTATATGTGTGTCTATTGAAGCTGAGAGGTTGACTGATATGTGGAATGTTCGGTATGGTAGACTTTTTTTTTAGTAAAACTTGGCTGATTGACTGACTGATTTATTTGGAATGGTGTTGTGTGACTGATTTTCTGATTTCTGTATTGGCCACAGGGCAAGCTCAAGCGCACATTCTCACCCGTGCTCTAACAATCAGCACAGAGACATGCTGGCCGGACCTATGGACTTACAGTCCAGTCTGGCTTTGCCAAGGTCTGCCCAGACTCCAAAACCTGACAAATCGTAAGTATTTCTGCCTTTATGTAGTGCATTTGAGGATTTTCCTATTTTTTGTGTGGAAGAAGCTACAACTACTTGACTCAGGTGTGAGTGATTGGAGGATACAACTGGCAGGTTCTTTCTTTATCTCTGCCTCTTTGAAGTTTATGTATATTTGTCTGTCTGTCTGCCTGTCTTTCTTTTTTCCCAACTCGTAATGACTGTTACCCTATTAATTTGTATTTTTTTAAAAATTCGCACTCATTCATACAAAAATCATGGTCCTGCCACTTGTGAGATGCTTGTTCCTCTGGTAAGATACTGAACTGAGAGGAAATATTTCAGTAAAAGAAGAAGATTAATATACATTCTAATCAGACTCGGACTAGGGGCTCTTGTGGTCTAGAGGTTATGGTGTTAACGTCTCATTCAATAGGTCCCAAGTTTGGATCCTGACAGCGACAGAAAATATGTTCTCTAAAATGCTCTCCTTTCACCTACTTTCCTGCTCTCTAACCATGTTCTGTTATCTGCTTTTGTCTCCCTTTTTTGCCTCCCCTCCCCCTTCTTTTGCCCCCTCTTCTGCACTCCTGACTCCTTCTGCAGCCTTTCTACTGCTACTCCTTGGCACCTTCTTACAGCTGTCTTTCCGCCACACCCCTGATCTTAGGGTAGATAAGATGGAATACCTAGCCTTCTCGGATTAGGGTGAAAAAATCCTGGAGGTCCCATGTGCAAGTTGTGCACGTTAAAGATCCCTTAGTCATCCTAAAATCGATAAGAGTAGGCTTCAGCCTTTCTACTGCTACTCCTTGGCTCCTTCTTACTGCTGTCTTTCAGCCACACCCATGTGCAAGTTGTGCACGTTAAAGACCCCTTGGTCATCCTAAAATCGATAAGAGTAGGCTTCAGCCAGCACGTGGGCAAAATTAAAAATAATTTCCATGCAGAAGGAACATGTAGTTGCATTAGTCTTTTTACATTGTTCTTTTTTTCTTGTTTATAATGTATACAAGTATTTATTAAAAGTGGAAGGAAGTTATTGCTTTTTAGAGTCCTATTTGTTAGAGCACGAAATATTTCTAAAGTGAGTGTACTCACATACATATGGGAATCCATTTCAACAGGAATTTCGTGTGAAAGGGATTTATGCTAAAAATCAAGCCTACAAATTTAGATACGGAGATCTGCTCTACACCAACGTCTGTACTTTTGATAACAAAAACATCAAACTAATAAAATTGGGCAATGATTTCACTAGGGGCGGGCACGAGACGAGCCGAGTACTCGTTTCTAGCGAGAAACGCCTTTCCCGTCGCTTCTCGAGCACTAAACTACTGCTCGGTACCGAAACGTGATACTGCTCGTTGGCTTGACATAACGACTACAGAATGTTTCTTTTCAGGAAATTAAGAAGTTTCCGTGTTGATAATAAGATTATGTCCCTTTTATACCATTCTATGATTGAAAGTGTGCTACTATTTTGTATTTGCTGCTGGAGTGGGAATTGTAAGGTGAAAGATAAAGAAAAATTTGACAGAACCATTAAGAAAGCGAGCAAGATCTATGGATATGATTTTACTAGAATTGATGAAATGTATAATACCACATGTATTAAAAAAAGATAAAAAGCATTATAAACGACCCATCACACACCATTTCCACTCAAATTGTAAGATCACGCAGCTGCAGATATGTACCTCCAACAACAAAGAAAGAAAGATATGAAAGAAGTTTTTTTACCATCTAGCATAAGGCTTTTGCTTTTGTCAGAATGAGCATAGATGTGTGTTGCTCTTTAGAGTATGTCTCTAACTCCGAAGGTCTTGTAATCAAATTCCTGCATGTGGTTGAATGATGCATCTGATGTGAATGTACATTTTGTCAGCTTTACTTCTCTTTCCATATTGAATTTTAATGAGAGTAATATATAATTAAAATTTTTTATGTATACCTGCATGTGTTTTTACGGTCCTTTACAGCCCAAAAAAATTTCCCTCTGGGATAATGAAGTATTATCTTACCTATCTTATTCTTATCTTATCTTAATTTACTTGGATTTTTTTATAACATTCGCTTCCAGAAGTCTAGTCTTGTACTGTGTACTTTCTCTCTGTTTCAGAGTGAACATCTGCGTGGTGAAAAATGCGATGTATGTAGCAGGTGGGAAACAGTCTTCAATCGTGATAAAAGAACAAAAGACCAATGATGTTTCTGATCTGTATCCTGGGAGTGATTCTGACCGTGACCCTGATGATGATGATGACTTTGAATGTGGGGACTCTGATCATCAAGAATAATTGAAACTTTCTCTGAAAGCATGAGGTGACGTCGGTGACCAAGTTGTTAGGCTCTCAGACTCTCAATCAACCGTAAGGTCATGGGTTTGAATCCTGTCAGAGGCCCGACTTTTGCCCTTGGGAAAGTCACTTCACACGCATTTCCCTTACTTCACCACCTTGATGGGAATGGATATCCAGCTATAGATAGCGAAAAGTCTTGTCATTTGTTAATGTTTGAGCGCTTAATGGGCTGTTTGCACTGTATGCTTCCCGGGAAGCCAAGAATGTTTCTGAGCATGTTCTGGCTCTGCTGGAGTAATAATGGCTGTAAAGTGCATAGAGCATGCTGTAGAGCGTTGACATGAGCTATATAAATGCAATAATTATTATTATAATATGATTGACATTGTTATTCATGAAATTGTTCAATTTTGTTTGTTTGGGTATGTGAGGATCCACATTTCTGTCCATGTCTATGCTTTGCATGTGTATAAAAATGTATGTGTGTCTGTGTGTGCATAATATGCATATTTGTGTTTGTGTGCACTTTTGTATTTGTGTGTTTAGGTGCACAGAATATGCAAGCGTTCATGTGTACCCAATTTGATGAGTAGAAAACCAATATGTCTGTGGTGTGGATCCATAATGCTTGCTACCCGCAGGTGTGAGCCCAAATTTTAATGGTTGGAGTGTGCCTTAGCTAGGTCTTTCTATTCTACCCATCCATAGTTTCTGCCTGTCTTGCTTTTTTTTCTTGACACTGAGTAACAGCAGGCCAGTTGTAAAAAGAGAAAGCCAAGAGTTTGGATACTTCGATGTAGAACTGGGGTCTTAGGAAGATGGGTTGCTCCTTGCTCCCTCGCCCCTCTTCATGAGGGTCCATTTCAGTGTGGGCAGGCTGATTGTCTCCATCATCAGCTGGTTGTTGTAGCATCTGATGGGGTCACCCAGCCTGCTCCTCCTACCTTCACCAGGCTGCACTCCTTTCGCAATCACAACCTCCTTCGTGAAGGAGTCCTCTTCACGGCTGCTGGCGATGTGTTCTCGGACAAGGGCTACTACAGTTGGAGGGTCAAGGGTAAGCACTCCCTCTATGTTTGCGGAGCCTGCTAGCTTATCTGCCCTTTCATTTCCCTTGACTCCTGCAGGTCCTGGGCAGAAGATCCACTGCAAGCGTCTGATTTTGCTGTCTTGGATTATCCTAAACCAATCTGCATAGAGGCTGCCGGTCAAGATTTTATCCAGAGTACTCATTGAGTCCGTACAAAGGTAGCCTGCTGGTATCCGTTAGTGCAAAGTCATTTCAGAGCCTCAGTGATGGCCTTGATCTCTTTGCACATGCTTGATGTAGTGAGGCCCGTTGCCCCAGATGCCTCCTGGATTGTTACTGGATTGCACTGTATGCTTCCCGGGAAGTCAACAATGTTTTTGAGCATGTTCTGGCTCTGCTGGAGTAATAATGGCTGTAAAGTGCATAGAGCATGCTGTAGAGCGTTGACATGAGCTATATAAATGCGGTAATTATTATTATAATATGATTGACCTTGTTACTCATGAAATTGTTCCGGTTTTTTGTTTGGGTATGTGAGGATCCACTTTTATGTCCATGTATATGCTTTGCATGTGCGTAAAAATGTATATGTGTCTGTGTGTGCATACATGCATATTTGTGTTTGTGTGCGCTTTTGTATTTGTAAGTTTAGGTGCATAGAATATGCCAGTTATGTCACAATAACTCCCTTAGCCAGCTTGTTAGTGTATAATCTTTATTCCAGTCCTCCTTGGGACATACAGTGTTGCAGACTATTGAGCGTCTGCTTTTGTTTCACTATTGTTGGAATATTCCGCCTTTACCAATTGCCAAGTGACCATTTGCAGCTGGGTGAACGAAGGAAAATATGGTATGATACCTTTCAGAATGATACATTGTTTTATCTTGTGTAGCTGAGAATCATGGAAAAAGAAAAATATGGTATGATAGCATTCTTAAGGATACATTATTCTCTCTGATGGAGTTGAGAATCAAACTGGCAATTTTCTGACTGCAAGTCTAATGCCTGCCTTTCCAAATGTTGCAGGAGGAGCTACTTCAGCATTCTTAACACTTACAGTACCGAAGGCTCATTTGATGATAAACCCTCAAGTACCGCACCTGTTTAGAACGCTGAAGCCATGTAGAATGTTTTTAAAAAATGTTTAAAACTTTCGCATCCCAAGAAACATGCTTTGAAAATTCACTGAGGTTCACAAGCCATTCAGGCATCATATAGATTAACTTTCTCTGGTATTTAGTTCAATGCAGTGGCTCTGCTCGTTGTTTAAAATTATGTTGAGTGTGCCTGGTTGACTAAAGTCACCAGCGGTAGTGAGCACATACTAGGCCTACGGCCTGGTGACTAAACTCGCAGACGGTACCAAAGGTATTAAAGTCCACCCACTTTTTTATGTGTGACAGAAATCTGTGATGAATGCTTAGATGTGACTCTGTGTTTTGTTCAATTGACCGTTAGTCCAAGTGTAATATGTATTCAATTAAATCTTTTTTCTTCGATTTTGGTTTTGAAGAATTGCTCTCCAGGCATTTGCACTTGTTTATTACTTTGGTGATGATGGTGAAGAAAAAGAACAATCATGGCAATTGTAATCTTTTTTTCTGTTTTTCTCTGTATGCTAAAAATGTTTCTATTGGCCAGGGTTTTACATGTGAGTTCATCATGTATATGTGTGTGGAGTGTTAATTACCAGAGCCTGTCTGCAGGATCTGTCCGTTGTAGATGAATAAACATGTTGATGTGTCATTTGAGTGACATGCTATAGGTCTTATATGTTCCTGGTATTTTCCACCCCTTTGTGATACCACAGAGTCAGTTCGTGCTTCACCGGGCGAGTCAGTTCGTTCTTCACCGGGCGAGTCAGTTCGTGCTTCACCGGGCGAGTCAGTTCGTTCTTCACCGGGCGAGTCAGTTTGTGCTTCACCGGGCGAGTCAGTTCATGCTTCACCGGGCGAGTCAGTTCATGCTTCACCGAGCGAGTCAGTTCGTTCTTCACCGGGCGAGTCAGTTCGTGCTTCACCGGGCGAGTCAGTTCATGCTTCACCGGGCGAGTCAGTTCGTTCTTCACCGGGCGAGTCAGTTCGTTCTTCACCGGGCGAGTCAGTTCGTTCTTCACCGGGCGAGTCAGTTCGTGCTTCACCGGGCACAGTTTTGGATCTCCAGGGACACAGAGTAGGGCTAGATTTACTGGTCATTTAAAAAAATTATAAATTAGACCTGGTTTGTGAATACTAGGCTACCAATGGATAGCCTAAATGAGTTTTTATTTTTCCCCCTGGTCTTCTGAATTGGGTGTTGGTGAACAATAGATAGATCCGCTTCAGTTTGATTCCAGATCTTTTTTCCTTAGAGGTGTTGTACTCATATTATACAATGTTCTTTTTGAACTCAGCATTTTTATCAAATGAGAAGGATATCTACCTTGTGGCTGTTTTTATGGATGATTGCATTTTTTGTCCCCCCCCCCATTATTGTTTACCTTTTCAATGGGGAAAATAGATAATGCAAAGTTTTGTATTGTTGAGTAATTTTTGTGTGGATCTAATGATGCAGCTCGGGTCTGTGGAATCTATTGTTTAGGGAGAATATTTCAAGCAGCCCAGATGTTGAACAAGTATGAAGTTTGCCTGTCAGACAGGAGGTTTTTGAAGTTTGGTCCCTGCCAGTGTCGGGTTTTTTCCCTTCATGTTTTCTGCTCTTCCAGATCCCAGGAGAGGTAGGATTGAGCGCCTTGTCGCCTTCTCAGATAAGGATGAAAACTTTTGGAGGTCCTGTTTGGAAGCTTTGAACATCAGAAATCCTTCGGCAGTTCCAAAATGGAAAAGAGTAGGCCCTTTTGGCCCCCTCCCAGGCAAACTTAAAAACTAATTTCCACCCCAAAAACTGAAGCCACCCTTGTGTGTATAAAATATATTAAAGGAACGTAAAGAAATGGCACATGTATGCCTATCAGGCAAGAGATAATTTTTACATTCTGTGTAGGTAGATGAGCAAGTTCATTCAAGTCGTGGGCTTCATTAAGTAATTCAGAATATCTTGCGGGCCAAATTAGGGGAAATTTGGGGGAAATTATTTTAAAAAACCAAGCGCTCAAAAGTGGGACTAAAATTTACACTGGACTTGTAGCATAAGTCGCTCAAGTACATTTCTTGCTATAAAGTATTAGAATAAGTTCTTATGTCCGGGCTGGCAACTGTTGGTTTTAATTTTCAAGACGGATGGTTTTATTTTGATTAATCAGCTCACCATGGGCCACAGTCAGTATTAGATACTGGGTTGACTGGCGGGCCTCACTTAAATTGCTCGTGGGTCTGATCTGGCCAGCTGGTCATTACCATGGTAGTTTGCCCATGTTTCATGCAGGTAAAACGGCAATGTATGTAAAAATTTAACTCCACTGTAAAAATAAAGATTTTACTGTTGGTTCCCCCTGAGCTGTATAATATCAGGGGTTCAAGAAGGAGGAGACTGTCGTTTATTGTTCTTTCCTCATGGACTCTTATAAAAAAGATAATATTTACAGGAAGCCATCAGTGTAAAATGATAGAATATATCTTCTTCTTCTTCTTCTTGATCGCTCCACACTTGAAGACTTGTATCTATTATATACTGAGCCATCCTGCCACGTTCCTCTGTTGGCCCGCGCAGAAAGCTTCCCATTTGGCCAAAATAGGATTGGCCACATTTCAATGTGTTAGGGCTCTAGCTGTTTGTCCTTTGGTGCCGGAGGATGTGTTCCACAATTTGGTCCGCTTCTCCACTCTGACATTTTGGTGATTGTTACAAGGTTCTATCAGGTTTTAGTTTTGACTTTAAAATATTGACTCTAACCTGACAGAATTAATGATTGATTTTATATATTCCAGATTTACATTGGTATTTGAATCCAAACTGTGTTTACATTACTATTCATGTAGTTGTTTTCTTCCTTTACTGAAACCATGTTTTGGTGGTTGGCTTTCAAGTTAATCCCTTCGTAGGGTCAGTTCGTGCTTCACCGGGCACAGTTTGGACCCCCAGGGACACAGAGTAGGCCCTGGTGCTAGATTAAGTGGTCAATTCCCAATAATTAGATGCAATTTGCAGATACTACTAGCCATATGTAAGAGGAACAGTTTCTTTGTAGAGAAAAAATATTCCCAAACGTGAATATTCAATTAGTTTTACGAAATGCTTCTAATATGTCAAACGGCGTTCGTCATCATGGTCCTCGCACTTCGCAAGGCATGACGAACGGCGTATGTCACAGCAGCATCTTGGCTCGCTCACAGCGTAAGAAAGAATGACGAGCGGCGTACGTCATATAGGTCATGAAGGGGTTAAGTTAAACCTGCTGTAGCGGCCGTCGCTTTTAGACAATTACCTGTACAACTGACCACTTACTTCCCACCCCTTTTGTGTTTTTTTTCTGTATTATGATGACACTGTCCAAGACATGCACCTGTGTAAGATTGGAAAAGACAAACTTTTAAAACTTTTTTCCTTCTCTTTCTGTGTTTCTCTGACTCTTTAGCCTGTGTTGATCTTTCTTTCTCTGTGATTTTAAACTCTATTTCTTTACCCCTTTTCTTTCTATCTCTGTTTTCAGCCATCCTATACTTCCATTATTTTTGTTTCTTTTGTGTTTACGATATCCTTCTTTGACTTTCTTTTTTTGGTGTCCAAATGTTTCATTTGTTTGCTTTGCTCTCAACCTCTCTTTGTTGGAATCAGCTTAATTAAACAATGTACTGAGGTGTGTTTAAAAACAGTGTGATGATATGGAATATATTCTCAGCACTTTTATTATTTTTCAGTTTACATAGGCCTATTATTCTATTATGTAAATTTGCTCTTGTAACACAATCTTTTTGAAAGTCCCATTGTCTTTCTACACGACTAATGTTCTACGTTCCCCACATGTTCATTATTTTCTTAATAGGTTTAAGTACTACAAAGTGTACTTATGTCTGTCTTATGTACTTAATGTCTTGTCAGCCAGCTGTTCAGAATTTTGAGGCATATGGAGCTATTGATATCATCTTAAAGTCTGTCCATTTGCCTTGCTTTTGATGAAAGAATTATAGATTTATCTTGGATAGAAGTCAAGATATTGACAATTGAAGGACGTGGGAGGGTCACATAGTTAAAATTAGGGTAAAATTAGTGAGAAAATAGCCACCAAAGTTGAGTTACTTCCTTAGCTTAAGAGTCCGTGAGAACTGAAAATTTACATCTTTTATGTCTTTAATCAACTTTTTTCAGTAAAATCCACATGGAAATGTGTTCCTTCAATGGGCATGAAAGGTAATGAGCCAAAAAACAAAACTTCGATAAAAATTCCCAAATCTTCGGAAAAATGCCAGTTTCTTGACTTTCATTATTTTGACGAGTGTTTGATTTCACCACACTGCCTCTCAAATTATTTGTCAAAATACAAATACTAAAAGTTGAAAAAAGCAAGAAAAAATGCAAAACGTAATTCCAGATTTTAAAAGAATGAAACAGTTTTTTGTCTGTCCCGAAAAATTTTGTTTTCTGGATTTTGAATAGCGTAGTTGAACAGATTGCCAACTACTTCTATTATTTCCCTAATTTGTTTTGTTTTGTTTTGTGTATCTTACTATAATCTTTACAAATGTGTATCTTTCATTCTGTCGGTTTACTCCACTTTTTTTTAAAGAAACGGACAGTTTAATTTTTTGTGAATTGCAATGAAAAGATCTATAATATCATGATGATTATTATGAATGCTTCTTTATGAGTTGTTTTGTTTCCATTTTTACCTGCAACTTTCAGAGCTGCTCCTCTTCCATTTTATTTTTGTGACTTTATGACTTCTTTCTCTCTTGTTGTCTTATTTGCATCTTTTTCGGCTTGCTATTGGGAGAGCAGAAAAATAGTCATGTGCAGCTTTTTCAGTTTGTTTTTTTAAGTGCAACCCAGAAACTACTGTACTCTGAAAAGTGTGAAATAGGCCCCCTATGTATAGAATTAGAAATTATTTTTTTTATAAGTATAGGCGTTGTAGGCTACTAGGACTATCTTCAACTACATGTATTACTCAAATAAGTTATGTTCTGATTTAAAAGATTCTATGGCAATTTTCACAGTAACAATCACCTGCTTCATTCCCTTTGAGTGTTTGTTGTACTATTTGCAGCACTTATCAAAGCATTTCATAAGCAAAGCAAGAATTGAAGGAATGTTTCTGTATTGATGTTTTTAATAATTTTCAAGCTCAAGAAAAATGAAGGATTTAAAAATGAAACTGTTGAAGAAACTATCTCTGGAAAATATCAGAAAGCAAATAGAAATGGGTGTCCAAGGACATGGAACTCGTGAGAGAGATAAGGCAGTTGTAATGAAATGTTGGAAAGTACACATAGTCAAATAGGGAATGAGAGACATAATGCAATAAAGCAAAAGAGAAATACGTGAATGTTAGTGTCATGCCGAGATATTAACTCTCAGCTCAGCAGGCTCCACAGCATCGCTTGGTTATCTACAGTCACAGCAAACATGACAATGTACCAAACCCCAGTCCATGTTATCTGTTATCAAACTGTTTGTTTGTTGCTTGGATCGTTCATTTTCCCTCAGTTATTCTATGCAAATAGGTTAAAAGTAATGGAGTAATTGTGAAGTTTGTGATGTGGAACATCTAGATGACAAAACTTGCAGTGTACAGAGGAGGAATAACACGTCTGCTGGGACATTTCAGTGACACACGTTCAGCACTTTTTAAGGACCCCAGAGTTCCTGCCTGCTGTCGGCATCGCTGACCACTTATGACGCCACCGCGCCAGAAGAGAGAGACAGAGAGAGAGACAAAGAGAGAGAGAGAGAGAGAGAGAGAGAGAGAGAGAGAGAGAGAGAGAGAGAGTCTCCCGTATACTGTACAAGGAGTTAAGAAGAACCAGAACAAAGCTAATACCGTACATGCATTCCGAAACCTAAGAAGTAAGCAGGAGGTCCAGCTGTGCACAAAATCTCAACCACACAATTTTGTTTTACATGTGTGTGTTCCTGGAGAAAGGTCCCAGTTGTCAGAAAAGCTTTTTTTGAGCAATGGGGTGAAAAGGCCGAAACAGTCGTGGTTGGTAAAAAATTTAGTTTCATCAGAAAATACACGTTTTCAGAACAATTTCTTAATAACGTATTGAAAGGATTTATAATATTTGAAGTCTAAATAGCTTTTATTAATTATTTTTGTAACATGCTGTACTTCACCAAAGGTTAAAAATGTGATAGAAATTTGATTTTTCTCCAAACCTTGTTTTTATACCCTGTGTTACAAAATGTTGCATATCTTCAAAACTGCAAGATATTTGGAAAATTTTAAATATCAGTGTGTTCAGCATTGAATTTGCTACAAGTATATATGCCCTTGTTTCATTATGAACCATTTCCAACAACTGAGACCTTCTCCAGGCACACTGACATATCCTGGGTTCTTGTAAGTTAATATCAGAGCGTTTGTAAATATTGCCTTCATTAAAGCTTTGGATTGTTACTGTAAGTTTTGGTTCAA